ATTATCTCGACGGACGAGAATTTCATCTTGAAACGGATGCCCGTGCCCTCACATACATTCACAAGCATAAGGATGTCAACAGCAAAATAATGCGCTGGGCACTCCGCATACAAGACTTTCAATTCACAGTCTCTCATATTGCTGGTACTCAGAACGTAGTTGCTGATGCACTTTCCCGAGCGCCGACCGATCCACCACAAGTAGACGAACTAGAGGATCATATGCTAGTCCCAACCAACTCTACTTTCCTTGCACTGCTGCAAGCGCCCGTCACACCGCTCCTCACTCTACCAGCCATTCGCACTGCACAGGATGCAGACCCGGAGGTGCAAGCTCTGCTCACAGACTTGCCCGAGTCATTCTCTCTCTCTGACGGTATTCTATACAAGAACGGGAAAAACACCGCTCGCCTCCCTTTCATACCACAGGCTATGAGACGGTCGGTCCTACACTTCTTCCATGACTCCCCTCTCGCTGGCCATTTAGGTTACCGTAAAACCATGGCCCGGCTTCTTCGTCGCGTATTCTGGTTCGGTATGCATGAAGACATTTATGCGTACATTCGATCGTGTGCTACTTGTCAAGCGGTTAAAAACCCAACATCAAAACCTCATGGTTCATTGCAGTCAGTATTACCACAGGGCCCGTGGGACATGCTGGCAATGGATTTAATGGGACCTCTACCCCGCTCCGCTAACCGCAACACGTATCTCCTCGTAGTAGTCGACCACTTCTCCAAATGGGTCGAGCTTTTTGCTCTAAAGGACGCTACCGCTCCATTAATCGCTCGCACCTTGGAACGAGAGATATTCTGCCGTTTTGGGGCTCCTGCCTCAATCCTGTCCGACAACGCGACCAATTTCCGTGGTAAGGTTCTGGCCAATCTCATGAAAGCATGGGGGATTGAGCAGAAATTTACCACGACGTATCACCCGCAAGGCAACATCACTGAACGGGTGAACCGGAATCTACGTGCCATGCTCTCCGCTTACACGCACTCTAAACACTCCAAGTGGGATGAGTTTCTCCCAGAAACTGCTCTCGCTCTAAGAACTGCAGTGCACAGTTCGACCGGCTTCAGCCCCGCTCTCCTTAACTTAGGCCGTGAGCCAAAACTCCCTTTAGATTACGCAGTGAACCCAGTTCACTCTGACGGCTTCGACTCTCGCATCGATTACTCTACCAAACTTATTGATCGATTGGCATCCCTTTACTCCCAAGCCAAATTAAATATTGAAAAATCATGCGAAGAGCAAAAACGACACTACGACAAGAGACATAAAAATATTACCTTTAAACCTAATGATCTGGTTTTACTAAAAACTCATCACCTTTCGAAAAAGAGTGAAAAATTCTCTAAAAAGCTTGCAATTCGGTGGGATGGCCCATTTAGAATTGTAGCTCAATTGACTCCTGTCACATATACAATCGTAAAGATGGTGCCAGATGCTCAGCCCACTATACATAATGTAAAGCATCTCAAGCCATTTTTCGATCGTCCTTCACATTTATCTGACTATTTTGCATGTTCTTCCCCTGAAAACATTTCCATGTCAGACATTACTGTGGTAGAATCTTCTGATCAAGGACATTCTTACCACCTTCGTTCTAGAAATCTATTAGTTTAGTTCACAGTTGACAAGTGAGTTGTCAACATCTCTTTTCTGGCTCTCTGGTCAGCCACATAATTTCTTACAAAATAAGTTCTCAAATAATACATAAATATTACAATTCACAAATAGTTAGTTCAACTATCCTTTAAATTCATCACTTTCTTCAAATTTTGGATCTTTCTGGTATACATTACGGTAATAATTCATAAATATTGTTAGTTTTAAGTTTTCCATTAATTATAAGTACACAAGTTATCCAAACAATTTATTACTTAATTTTAAGTCATAAATTTAAGTTCTAAAATATCCTCACGACAGAATTACGGTCATGTCTCCTCCCGTTTACGAACAACAACCTGGTGAACATATCCAGATGTTTGCGTGGAGAGTTGAGTCCGCGATGCGACTCGCTTCCCCCAACGGCGACGTACCCGACGTACGCATTTTCCATCGTATCCTTCTCGGCCTACATCCCTCAATCACGGCAGTAATGACCACCAACCCCACAAATCTGGAGCAGCTCTTCTGCTATGGCGAAATTCTCGACACACTGCTCTCTCCGGACGACCCATTCTACCGCACCATACGCGAACACTGGCCTGTTACTGTGACAGTAGACAACGAGCAGTTCCGGCCTCAAAGCCCCACGGCGGTACAGTGCTATCGGTGTCACGACATGGGACATTACGCTGCCGGTTGCACCAGGAAGCGCATCAACAAGCCCAAACGCAAACGTGGATGTAAGCGCCTCAAGTCCACCCCAGCCTCGCCACAGGGACGGGGGCATGTAGGGCTGAAAGCCTACACAACGCGAATTCCATCACGTCGAATTAATTAATTAAATTAACCAGTCTAGACGAGGTCATAGACTGGCTTGGCCGTGAAGGCCAACTAAGTTAATGCGGGTGAGATACCCGCAGCCCACTATTTAAGGAGCGTCCGAGCTCCCATTTGGGACTACTATTTTTTTGACTCGCGACGAGTCAACTCCCATGCACATGTATGTATGATTTTCTCTCTCTACTAACAAGCCAGTGATTGGCAGCTACCACTGAGGATAGAGGTAGCGGCTCTGAGCCCCTTTCTGCAAACTAACACTTCTTACCTAAATAAATTTCTACTTGATTATGTATTTACTGTCCAGAGCCACCACCACTTTCCTGATTCGACTCCAGTCCACCGCATAACTCTTATATAGCACGAGTAGGACTCGGTATAACTAGAGTAGGTATGCACTAACAGCTCAGTTGAGCTCCCTCTCGCTCCTAGTCTCATCCTGCCTCAACACCACTGGTCCATTCTTAAATACTAGGCCATGCTTAAAAGCATTGCCATGCTTATTAACCTGTGAGCCCAAGTTCCATTTATCTCTTGGTTACTCACTCTCACAGACAGACACGGCGTTCTAACCGCTCGGTCTGTCTCTATATGTAAGTAGCACTCTCTTCCAACTCGCTCCACTACACAGCGTAACGCACTCGGTCGCGCTCTCCTGCAACCAGCAAGGGTTGCCTCTCTCTTCTCAGTGCTCTCCCTTACAAAACGCTTGAAGAGGGTTGTAGGTAACAAAATTAGAAACATTTTGGCGAAAACCGCTTTCAAAAATGTTGACCCGTGTTTGAGCTAAAAGTCGCAGACGGATCGATTTTTTTCAATTTAAGCTCCTCCCACTCCGCGAGCGGGGGGGCGGAGTCGGAACGTTGTACTCGTTCCGTTCGACTCAGGAAGCTCACCTGTACAAACAGTGACAAGCTCATCCAAATCAAAACATTTTATGTGTGAAGTGATTCCGTCATATTCCTAACCTGTAATTCATCTGTGGAGGATGCTGCTTTCCAATTTCTTTGAAATAATGTTTAGCGTGGGCACGATTCATGGAAAGAAATAAAATAAGGAAAACATTCAAAAAGACTTAATTATTACTATTTGAACTATCTTATAATTCTTGGCAACTTGGAAGTATTCACGCCAACTTTAAAATCCTTATCTCGAATATCTCGCAAATTGAGCATAGCAATATTATATCGTCAATATTACGTGCCAGGTTGTACGAAATTAGCAAAATTTCGCAGACATGTATTTGGCTGAAAAATCTTGGACAAAGATTTTTCGAGCTCCAGCAACTTGCTAAGGTTAGGTTGCTAAGGTTAGGTTGCTTAATTGTGATGCTAAATAGTATTTAGTAAATAAGTCGTTGACGTGAAAACGCCCATTAAGTTGGGGTTCGAACTAGTCGATTTTTACTTGCATGCTGGGTAAATAAATCCGAAGAATAAATATTTTCAGTTAAATATTTTCCCATAAATATATGTACAAAAATATGTACACAAAAATTACCCTTTCCTGGTTAGGCGAACAGACTTTAGTAACCAGCAATATTTTTAAAAAAATGCTAGATAGACATCTTGAATTTAACGAGTTCAAAGAAATATCTTTATTTACAAGCATGAAAAATCCTACGTATGTCCCTGAAACTCTGAATTAATAGGTCAAGAATATGTACTGCTTCTTAACTAACAAAATATATTTATATATGTAGATACATATCCTCCTTCTCAAATTTCTAACCAATGTACATACGCATATAAAAAGTGATGAGTTCCATCCAGTTTCTATGGTTGAGGCAAATAAGGTAGACATTTGGCCAAATATTAAGTAACTTACAATGGAGGTCTCCCAACGTATGCTCTCAGATTTGGACGAAACTGGTGTCAATTGATCACAAATTAAATTAGTATGAAATTTGCAAATGCAACTATCTGCAAATGCGCAGGTTTGGCGGAGATATTTGCATAAAAAGAGGTGAAAACTCGCAAATTTGTCAGGGAAAATTCGAAAAGTGTAAAATTGATGGCATTTTGGGCGCGTTTTCGCCTCTGTTTATGTCAATATCTCCGCCAAACCTGCGCATTTGCAGATAGTTGCATTTGCACATTTCATACTAATTAAATTTGTGATCGATTGACACCAGTTTCGTCCAAATCTGTGAGCATACGTTGGGAGAGCTCCATTGTTAGTTGTGTGTGAAAATTTCGGAATTTTGTTTATACCGCTAGAAAGGTATCAACAAGGGAATAAGAATATGTATATCTTCTTCAACGGATATCAAGAATATGTATGTTTTGCTTGGCGCCGAACCACACCCCTTGAGAGTCCTAAGACTTAAGAGTTTTGAACGGTTGCTCGCCAAAACTTAACACAGCGAGTGACAGAAAGTTTATACTGCGTGGTAAATATGGAGCCAATATCAAAACCCTACTCCGATCGTCTACCTTTTTTTGTGTCACCCATAATTGTGGCATGCTGTGTTATTAATTATGAACCATAAACTTAAACATAAAGGTGAACCATGAATTGACATTCATGGCGAAAAAATTATGTATGTCGTATCATTGATTTGAATATTTTCCCACGTCGTTTTTTTCACATGTTTTTTCCCAACTATGCATATTCACTCCGGAGGACATACACATGCCTAGGTAATCTAGCCCAAAGTATTTTAATTATGCAATTATAAATGCATCGTTCTTCTTGCTGGTATCACACACTCTAACCAAAATATTCATCTCTGCCTTTATTTTTATCAGATGCATTGTTTAACATCTTGGCCTTGGCTTATGTATGGTTGAGGTAGACATTTGGCCAAATATTAAGTAACTTGACTGTATGTGAAAATTTCAGAATTTTGTTTATACCGTTAGAGAGGTATCAACAAGAGGAATAAGAAAAGGTGTGTTTAGTAGGGTGCCGATCCACCCCTTAAGAGAGTCTCGAGACTTAAAAGTTTTGAACGGTTGCCCGCCAGAACTCAACAAAGGCTGTAGGTAATATCGAGCAAAACTCAAAACCCTGCCTCGATTGTCTACCTTTCTTACCTCAACCATACATTGGAGAAGCACGTACTCTTCCCTTATACGTGAAGAAGCTAAGCAGTTTGTAAATTCCAAGTTAAAAATTAACACAATTCGCTAATGAACATTAAAAAAATGGGTATCGTCTTGAGAACATTCCCTCATCGTAAGAAGCGTCGCACCTTCTTCAGCTCCGGCTTGACACTAGAAGTTGGTAAAATTTGGTTTTAAAAAGTGGATCCAAATAAAGCTCAAGATACGTCATAAATTTGCAGGCCGCGGAGGCTGTGGGGGCTTTTGTGACTCTAGGATTTACAGTTATCCCATCTTGGTAGGTTAGGTTTTGAGCAAGCGTAGTTCTAAATCGTGACAATCTTTGAGAGCAACCAATTAGCTAGGTTAGTAATTTTTCCTAGGTAAAAAAAAATAAAAAATCCACCCACCCTGCTCAGTTGAATTGCAAGTCTCGTGTAAAAGCTTTTACCAGTCGATTTTGGTACGAAAGTATCATATATACGAACCTAAAACAGTTCGGCAAAAGCATAACGTACTTTACTAATTAAATACAGTTTGGGAAAGGTGTTTCAACAGAAACCTAGAGTGTGAGAGTGGTCCCTCCACCAAAAACCAAACAATTTCGAAACCCGCGAAAAGGTGCACAATTCAAGTTATTCATCTGGAGAAGCCCAAAAGTAGTAAAATGGTAGTATGCGAAACAGTTAGACTCTGACAAAACAACAACGCAACTAATTATTACGAAGGATTTCGGGTAAGTCAAGGTGTCAGGGGTAGTTTTTACCCATTGCCATCAAGTTTCATCAACTCGCCACACGGAAAATTCAACAGCATGAAACACCCGTGAAAATAAAACTTGGCCTAACAAGGGAAGGTCCCCGACTGCTTATCGTGTCCAGGGTACCCACTATGTTTTTTAGAATCTACTAGGACCCTAGACGAAGGATCCATTCATGTTTCCGTGTTAATCGCATATTTGGCGCCATGGCGTGGCGCCAATTTCGCCAAATTTGTATGTTTTTATTTTTTAAACCGCCATAACTTTTGAAATCCTGGGCGGATTTTCAAAAAAAATTCCAAAAATCATTAAAAAGAGTTCAACTTTCGTATGCCATGAAATTTTTCAAAAAATTTTTTGTTTGAATTTTTGTCAAAATTTTGGAATCTTCTTACGCTTGGGGATTCGCCGAAAAAATATCAAAAAATAAAAATATTTCGTTTTTTATTTATTTCTTAAAATTTTGACCTTTGTGGTCATTTTAAGCCCAAAATTTGGAAAATCCCCCGGAAACTAGAAAAGTTATGGAGGTTTGAAATTGGTCGAAAACGCAGATTTTTAAGTTTGGCGCCACGCCATGGCGCCAAATATGCGATTAACACGTTTGGCGGTTATATGGAAGAATTTTCTTTAAATTGCAATTGTCTCATCGAAAAACGACCATTTTTTAATGGGTTTGGCACGCAATAAAAAATAGCGATCCAAAGGAAGGACAACAAACTGTCGGGAGGCATTTTTATCCCGAAAATAGCAATGCAGGCTTGTAGTTAAGGACAAAAGGCTTCAAATAGGGCACTTTGGCAATCAAAAAAATATTTCGATATACAGTAGAAAACTTCTTGAAAACGCACCTACCAGGATGGGACAACCTTTGTATTATATTTCGGTAGGCGATGGAGACACGACAAAAAAATTATTATTGAAAGCAGCATTTTTTTTGCTATGATATCTCCCTTACTCTTCCGTAGCCCATGTTGATTAATCCACAAATTAATACTACAACTTACAATCTTCCCCTCATTTCGTCCAACTCGAGGCGCAACTCGTTAATCTGCAACACAGCAGAGAACAGTTTAACATAAAAGTATCCTTTGTACATAGGTACATATTTATGTATTTCTACAACAATACAATTCTTCCTAAAAGGTCATTTGGCCTCCTAATCAAGTTAATTTCACGGGTGAAATTACCTTTGAGAAAAACTGGAGGGAAAAGGAAAAAGCTAAATACGTATGTAAATACAAACCAAGATTCGCAAGGTTCAGTTACCTTCATGTCTTTGAAGCGGACATCGTAATCAATGTCATACAAATCTTCCTCCAACCTGGCGACGTGATTCTGGTACAACTTGCATAGGCGGACAACTTCCTCTGCAAATAAATAACCCAATTAAAAAATTCAAGAAAACTTTAACTTCATGATAAAAGTATTGGCATAATTACAAAAAAATAGGCGGTACACTACATAAATATGTAGATTATGAAATCGTTCATATAAATTTACCAGATTTCATATCATTTGTATTTACCTTCACCCATCGAATTTGGTGATTTATTCGGTCCACATCTCTCTTTGATGGCTTTATCTCTTTCTTGCATCTTTTTTTTACGGGTTTCTTCAAAGTTAAAGCGTTGTCTTTGAAATGTGACCCATTCTTTGAGATTTTGTCGCCGTCTTTTGGTCACAAACCCTTTCGCCCTCGTCTTCCTTCTCTGCTCTTTTCTCTCCTTAATCCTTGCACGGATATCTTTTGCCCGTTCCTAAATAAATAAATATGTAATAACCACATTGTAAATTATGTACACTCTTAGCAACTTGGTAATAAAAAAACAGCGGAGTAGATATATGACTCTACCGTGACGAAATTAAAAATTTACACCATGTTGGTATAGATTTAGTAATAAAATAACACTGTTTGGAAATAATTTTAACACTAATTTGTGTTACTTTTTTACCATATAGTATTGTTTTAATACCAACTCATTACTATCGCGGTAGAGTCATATATGCCCTCCGCGCAGTAATGATTCATTAAAATTTTGTTTAGAGTGTACATATTCTCTCCATGGAATAGAACGTATATTCAACCGTTTTGTTGATATTTGCACTTACTGGATCCATGGCAACTTTTGATCCTTGTCCTGACTAGAGGTAACTCAAGTCCCCCTATTTAGCCATGAAGCAGATTAAATAGGTTAAAATCAAATTAAAATAAAGTGTGTGTCTTGTGTTTGGTAATTTTCGTTTAATTTTAATTCCATAGATTTATGTATGTACCATCCAGGAAAAATATTTCGAAATTCTGACAAAAAATTTATGGAAAACTAAAAATTGAGTAAGCTTAGCTTTACAAAATTCAAGGGGTTCGATTCCTCGGCTGGGTAAGAATTTTTGGAATTATTGAAAAATTCCGTATTTGTAAAATATTATATTCTTGTGTTACTCTTCCTAAAACCGAAACTACTAAAATTGAAAATTAAGAAAAAAATAATTTTAACCACTAAAATTCACTACCTGAACTGTGAACCAGGAAAGTTATAATAATATTAACTAAACTAAATTTCCCAGCCGTGCAACACAACTACGGTGATTGCAAAGCCTCGAGATGAAATGAGGCTACAATTGCGAATATTTTAAATTTAGCCAATATTTCCATCGTTTTCTGAATGACTGATATTTCTGCAAAACAATATACACAAAACACTGAGGAGGAAAATTACGTGTTTCCACCCTCTGTAGTCAAGTAACGAAAGAAACGTTCACATTTACATACCTCACATTTCTTTGTTTTATTACATTACACATTAGACCTGCTCATGTCGGCTGGGTTCGAAGGAACAACACAATCCTGTTTTGAGTAGAAATCACGAACATTATTAAATTAAATTTATTTCATGCCCGTATTCGCAGAAAGGAAGTGTACAATGACACAATTATGCGAAAATCTTTCAGCCTTTCAGAATATCATCCTTAACATTACCAGAAATTACCAGAAACCACACTAATTATTTGACAAGGTTACGAATTAAAAAGGTTACAAATCTCGTCATTAAATACATTTACATAAGTCTACGTTTCGGGGATACATATTTATTACAATGGACTTGTACATAAAGTTGTCTCAATCTCGAGGATTAAAAAATATATTAAATTTTTTCCCATAAGAGTTTGATAAATGAAAATTTGTAATCTGTCATAATAAATTTATCCTCATATTTAAAAACAAATGTGTATTTCCGTAATAAAAAACACGACGGTGGAAACCCTGCGAAGAGGATTTACATTCACTCAACGTCACAACAAGCTCATTAGGCCATTTTGCCAGGAAGGATGATTTTCCGCTGTAAGAGCTTGAGAGAAAAAGACGGATTTTCGGAAGTGTAATTAACGCCCTGTCACTCACTTAACACGTATTTTGATATTTTCGTTCATGAAAAAAATGAAAACCAACAACGTCACAAAAAGGCATTATGCGTGTAGTGCCAAAAAATCGTAGAGTTGAGCGAGTTCCAAGTATTTACTTTTGTCTTTTAAACTTGTCTTTTAAGCGAAACCTATTTTTTCGCTAAAAAAACAACAACCAAAGTTATTAATTTAAAATCACTACCGAGGGTAACTCTGTCCTGCTGCTAGATAATAACTATTTACCATTATCACTGAGTATTGATATGGTAATGAAAGACTTGTTAGTAGTGAGTGAATCATCAATTCGAAGGAGGTCTGTAATCAATCAGTGCCAAATCATTAACATATCTACACTCTAAACAAAATTTTAATGAATCATTACTGCGCGGAGTGCATATATGACTCTAAAGCGATAGTAATGATTTGGTATTATAGTCGGATTGAGTTTTGTATGTGCTGTGCGTGCGGAGCCTAATAAGCAAAAGGAAGAAAAACCGAATATTACATTTCGAATTCAAGGCGAGGACTTTACAGTAAGCGCAATTCAGGACGCCGGTTCCAGTCCTCAAATTTATTATTGTAAGTACTACATAGATAAGTAATACCTCCAGGAATTAATATATGACCTGATAATTAATAATAATTAATAATTTTGTAGTGCCAAGTCCATTGTGTTCACCGGCGCCATCACCAGTTTCGCCATCATTAGGACTTGGTGACGTTGATGTATTTAAGCAGGTAAACAGTTCATCAGCTCAATATATTCTAACAAGTACATAGTAACTACAATTTTTGATTTTTTTCGATATTAGATATTAGAGGAATATGTCGAGAAGACGCCGCGTTTGGCGAATCTAATCTTGGAGTGCAGAGAGAAGTCCCTCGTCGATAACTCAGCGGCGGCAATAATTGTTAACGAGTTTGTGTCGAAATTGGTAGACTTAAAAGGGTAATTATTTTTAAATAAGTTCCTTGCTGTTTGTAAATAATATTTTCTGTTATGTAGTAACTCACCATGCACTCGAGACCAGATATCTTTTGCAAAGGCGATTGTTGAAATTCTGCCTTTCTGGAAATATCCGGGAACGCCAGACGGAATTGTAAATTACTATTGCAAATAAATTTTCGTAACAATAATTACTAAAAAAATTATTCTAAAAGTGTCTTGTGTAAATTGCAGGATATTCTTTATGATGAAATTAACCGGTCTGGCCTAATTCAACAACGACTCAAGTGGATTCACAGAAACATTAGGAAACCGGAAGTTGATACGAGGCGTCGGAAAAAAGAAGAAAGTCAAGGTGGCCCAAAGCCAAAAATAGCGAAAGGCGCAGAGGAGGTTTTCCCCAACTTGGAATTAACGGCGGCCCTAAATTCAAGCACTAAAAAAGGTGAAATTGTATCACTCATGAAGGAAACTTTTGAACACAGAAACCAGATAAGACGGTCAAACGATCAATCAGTGCTACGTGTGTACTCAAAATTTGCGGAATGTTCCTACTTGGTTTGAATTATTAACTTAATTTTAATAATTACGCATGTCATAAATATACAATTAATACTTCTGTTCAGGTTAATTTTGAGTTTTCGCTAATGTTTCCTGACCTTGAACAAAACTTTCTAAACACGTGGCCGGAATTTGCTGACCGATTGATTGCGCACTGCAAAACTTTAAGTAATTCGCCAGCCCTATTGAAATTCGCAAACAATAATTATGGTAAGTGTTTCCGTAAATCTAATAATCATAAATTTCGTAAATAAATTGCTAACCACTGTTTTGTTGTCACAGATAATTGGGACAAATCAATAGCAGCTCTATTTGTTCTGTTACACCTTATTCCTCCAAGCGCTCAAGGGAGAGGGAAAGGGGGACGCTGTAAAATTGACGACGCAAAGTTAAAGTTGGTTACTTTTTACCGGGTAAGCGCGGGAATAATTTAAGAGGGTCAGCTAAACGATATGGGACAGTTTTAATAAATATGTGTTTAAATAGGCTGAAACGCCCTTGAAATCAATTGTGGACACTTGGAATTTTGAGACTTCCCAACCAGCGCTCATTGTACTAGGCGAGGACCACTCCAATTTGACGTCCTTCTACATAATTTGTGATCGAATCCTCCTCCCAATCAACGCAAGAACTTCAACCGAGGCAATCGATTCCCTATTTAAGGCTCATTACGTAATTGGAACAGAATACGACAAAAATTTGACCGGAATTTGGAAGTTTATTCAAGTACACATTTTTCAACTTGAAACAACTACTCAGCTATCAAGAAAAGTGAAACAAGTGTTCCAGCAAATTTCTACTTATCTTCAAACGTCAAATTCCTCGACAAATTAAAATGTATACTTGTGGTCCATGTGGAAAAGTATTTTGTAAATTTAGAGAGATTATAGTACATTTTAGGTGCATTCATAATTACGGTGAGGCAAATTTTCCAGCTACAATATGTCCTAAACAGTCTTGTAGCACACAAATATGTACATGGAGTGGATTGTTGAGGCATTTTAAGTCCCACGAAATTGTTTTAGATTCTGAAAATTATGATAAGAATTTTGAGGAAAATTTAACTCCCTCACTTAATTTAGTAGATCCAGTCTTAGATGACGTAGGTAATGATCCCAATTTAACTGAATTTAATGAACAAGCAGATATTACTACCAATTTAGGAATTAACGTAATGAAAGATATTTTAATTTCATTCTGCTCGTCATTGTTAGCCTCAGGTGTTACCAATTCAACTGTGGACTTTGTTGTTAAAGAGTTTGAAAATTCGTTTCTTCAAATTTCAAAATTAATTTTAAGGATAAGCAACAAATTTTGCAAAGAAAATTTTGAGGACTTTAGTTGCCAGTCGCTATCTTTAATAGAAGCGTTCAGTCACGTAAATTCTATTTACAAACGACAGAAAGCGTTAGAAAAATATAGCCAAATAATTATGCCAAAAGAATATTCGTTAGGAAGTAGGCTGGAGCAAAGGGTGAGAGATAACAAACGTCAAGAAGTTATTGTATCAGATACATTTATGTATGTACCAATTCTCAAGAGTTTAGAAAAACTTGTTTCATCTCCAGATATTTATCAGTGTTTTTCAAAAGTTGTACCTTCAAATTCCAATTCAATCGAGTCATTTAAAGATACAGTTGCATTTAAAACTAATTGTCTTTTTTCAAGGAACCCGAATTCTATTCAAATTCAACTTTTCTATGATGATTTTGAAACAGTCAATCCCCTTGGCTCAAAACGAGGAATTCACAAATTGGGAGCGTTTTACTTTACTATTAAAAATCTTCCAGATTATATTAATTCCCAACTTAGCTCAATACATTTATTAGCCTTGTTTTATTCGGAGGATGCCAAAAAGTATGGTATTAATTCAATTCTGAAATTAATAATTCCAGATTTCCTGTATCTTGAGAAAGTGGGCATATCGGTAAATGGATCTGATAGAATTTTTGGTACTTTGTGTTCTCTTGCGTTTGACAACTTAGGTGGAAATAGTTTGCTAGGATTTAATGAGTCGTTTAATTCCCATTATTTTTGTCGAATATGCTGTACATCTAAAAGTGAAGCACAAGAAATATTTGAGCATAGCAAAATGATAGTCAGGGACAAAAGTAATTATGCCAATCATTTAAGTGACAAATCTTTTGGTGTTCAAACTGAATGTATTTTAAATCAACTTAATTATTTTAATTTTTTAGATAGTCCGTCTGTTGACATTATGCACGATTTACTGGAAGGTGTCGTTCCGTACGAAATCAAACTAGTTTTACAAAAATTAATATCTTTAAAGTGCTTTGATTTAGATTTAATTAATCAAAGAATTCAGGCCCATAATTTTGGCTATTTAGAATCAAAGAATCGCCCAAGTCCAATACGACTAGAAGGATCGGGAAACAAAATTGGACAAAAAGCTTCTCAAGCCTGGTGTCTGATTCGGTATTTACCAGTGATTATTGGGGATTTAGTTATTAGTAATGAGCAAAAAAAATATTGGGAAATTTTATTGCAACTTTTGGAGATTTTGAGCTATGTATTTTGTCGGAAATTTTCAGAATCTACTTTGTTATTATTAGATGCAAAAATAGTTAGCCATCATAATCTATTTCGTAAGTTGTTCCCAGATCAAAAACTTATCCCCAAGCACCATTTAATGTGTCACTATTCTTTTGTCATTAGGCAAAGTGGGCCATTAGTATCAATGTGGGCCATGCGGTATGAGGGGAAACATAATTATTTTTCTCAATTAGCAGGACAAATAAGAAATTTTCGTAATATTTGTTCATCGTTGGCTAAAAGGCATCAACAGTATAGTTCTCATTTGTTAAAAACTATTGAAATTAATGAGGGGGTTAGGGCAGATAATATAGTAGTATCTAATTTGTATGAATTTGCTGAGTCTTTTGATTTAATCGAGAAATTAAGACAGTTTGACATATTTAAAGAATGTGACGGAAATACAAAAGTTTATACAGCAAATAAGGTCTGGTATCGTAATTATAAATACAAAATTGATTATGTTGTTTGCTATGGAATGGGAAATATTTTTCCAAATTTTGGTGTAATTCAGGACCTAATATTAATTGATGAAACCAGATGCCTGTTATTTTTGAAAAAGCTAAATGTAGACTTCTTTGACAGACACTATTTTTCCTATATTGTTACACGTACAAATGATTTGTTTGAAGTTGTGGATATATCTAATTTAATTGTTCATGAATGTTTTGAGTTTCAAAAAAATTGTAATACCGATGCTTTTCATTTAGTTTTAAGGCATTACTTGTAAAAATATATGTATTTGTAATTTAGGCTATATATAACTTGATTGGTTTTTGTATTTAATTAAGTTGTGTAGTTTAATTATTGCGAATTATTACAATAAATAATCAAAATAATTACCGAAATAGTGAAACATTTATTACCATAATAATAAATATCGATAAGCAAACGATAATAATATGATTATGGTGCGGTGTTGATTATTTACCACCCAGTAATAAGCATCTTTATACATTTATCATAATATCATTACTGGCTAATATTACTTCATTACTGCGTGCAGTTGCAGGTTCATATTGCATGATATTTATGATATTATTGTGGAGTAATACGTTAATGCCGGGATGGTAATCTTTCTGTTAAATACCGCGCGGTAACTAACCCATTACCACAGCAGTAGAGTCATATATAGACTACACGGGGTAATGATTCCGGTAAACATTTTTCGGAGAGTGTATGAATATAGATTTTGAAAATATGTTAGGTTTCTCCATAACGTGGACGCGGTGGCGTCCACTGGGTCGACATGAGCAGGTAGCTCGCTGACAAAGGGATTTGTGTGGGCATCCCCTATTAGGATGATCGGAGGACTAGGTCGTGTGGGGAACTCTGGGCGTGTATGTCAACTCGGGCAGATGCATTTGGAAACGGGGACCAAAATAATTTGCTGAGAAACTCACCCGTATGCACTAAATACTGAGTAATATGTTTACTATTTATTCACCCAATGGAATTTACGAAAGGAAAATGGAATTTGTACAGAAATTATAAACCGGAAACAAACAAAAATGGAAACACTATTTTTTCTCTACCACACTACCATACACTACAGCAAAATTTTTCAACATTAGGAAATCTAACTCCTGAAACAAACTTCAATAGGTTTATCTGGAACAAATGCAAGTGAGCCCGTGCCAGTTGCCACATCGACCACTCCTGTATCCACAATACGTTCTGCAAACCTGGGCGCACCTCGCATTCCCTCCTTCAAGACAGGCCCCATCATAACACTGTCCGTAAACCTGTGATTTTCAAAATTGCGAAATTAACTTCAAAATTACTTCGTTTAATCAAAAAATTCAAAAATTGTTGCAATTTTGACTGATTAAAAGTACCGTTTCCATAATGGAGAAAACCAGTATGGCCATCAATGTGATGACAAGTAAACGTTGACCAATATGCATAATAATTTCCCTTGAGTTTATTTCCCACAATTTTTTTAAATTTCAAAAAATTTAAAACTTTTATTCCAATCAGATTGTAACTTTTCTTTTATTCAGTTGCAGTCCACACTTCACTTGCGAATAATATCAGTCTTGAAACATGACGGGTTTTTAAACAATTTTTACACTATATTAGAGATATAAATTTGTTTTGGTGCAAAGAATTCACGGAATCAAGGATGCCGCATATTTACGGTTTTACCCGAAAAATAACAAACATAAACATCAAAATAGGTTGCACATACATATGGTAAATCTGCATTCGTAGAGAGCGAACAAAATAAAGATAGCACAAACACCATACTTCAATTAATATTTATAGGAATTATTATCATTTTTACGATCCGTCCATCATCGATGTATCTACATCATCATCTGCCTACCATTGTGCATGGCTTCAAATTAATTATACTTACATCCGCATTAATTTACAACTAGATGTCTTCTCTGAGTATGTTGACTTAATATATTTATTGCACATACTTATGTACATTTATCCTAAATGCCTGGAAATCATAATTACAATAAATGTTTTCGTAAATAGATTACTCTGAATAAATCGATGTTTACTTCGTTGACGTAAATTTATCAGGGATGTATTGCGCTGTAAATTTGTTGCACAGAGTAAGAAGCAGACATAAATTATGTGGATTCCGCAAACTATACACAATCTGCTCATACATACATAGATGTAATCATCTATAGATAGTCATCGTCTGGTAATAGTTGCAACTATTAGCAGACGATGACCATTGCGCAGCGCTGCGCAATGGTATTTTCATGCAGGGGCTAACATATTTTCATGAAAAATTTGATGAAAATTTTAAATTTCAGTTCCACTTAAGAATCTATTAGGACAAAGAAGTAGTAACAAATTATATGTTTATAATTTCCGACATCAATGCTGAATATGTAAATACCTAAGCACGCATTGCAAATGTTCACTCAAAATAATCCGGTAATAGATGAAGTCATATATAGTCACCGGCCTGGTAATAGGGAAACTTATTACCACATGGTAACAATCACATTACCGAGTGGTAGATAATTGTCATCACATGTGATATTTTTGTTACCACTCGGAAATAGATTTATGACTATGCCGTAATAAATTTACTGTTAACAGACCGGTGCCTATATACGACTTCAACTAGTAGCGGATTATTTTGTTTGTTGAATTAATGTGATTAAGACAGCTTATTTCATTGGGAGAATCGTCATCCTGACTGGGAGGAAAAAGTAAACAAATTGCTACTGGACGGGGTCCATATAAGTATGACCTCACCGTCAACTTCACCCAAACCCCAGACTAAACTTGTTTACTTGTATTACTGATGCTGTCTACATGTGTGTTCATAGGTTCAAGGGAATATGTTCTGTGACATATTTATTTACCTAAGTTTGTCTGAAATAGGTTCAAAGTCGGTATGTATGTACATATTTCCGAGAAAATGTAGGGGTTGCAACCCCTACATTTTTCCATCCATCAACCGGTTGATGGATTCGATGGAACATTTGGAACTTAAAAATAATTTTCGGATTTTCAGACTTGACAAAATTTTGATTGTTAGAATATGGCAATGGCTAATTATTATTGAGCACAGATAATAGTGAAATATGAAATTACAGAGGGTCGCTTTTTTACCTGTGCACAAGTTTGACCTTTAATAGCTCCGTAACGGTTCGTCGCATCGGTTCAAAATTTTGAACATAGGAGCGTATGGTTTTAGAATCGGGGTAGGCCCAAAATCAAGTCTCTACTTTCAAAAATGCCACCCCCACTGTCCCCAGAAGTTAAGGCCGCCAGAAAAGGTATTTTCAAGCTTAATTTCTAGCATAGCAAAATAATTAAACATCTTAGAAATGAAGGAAAAACAGTTTTGAAATCCAGAATCACCAAAGTATTGAAAAATAAAGAAGAGAAGGGAGAGGCATTGAGCTGAGGACAACCCCACCCCATAGAAGTAGACCATCAAAAATTTTAATTCCGACCGTGTTAAGGAAAATGGATCAGCTGACCTCCAAGGACACCCCACCGACCCAAAATTAGTTTGCACGTAAAGTGTGGTCGCCTAGACATAAAGTGGGAGGAGGAATTAGGTTTTCGAAGGAACGATTTCGTCGGAGGACTCGCATGCATCAGCTCACAGATGAAAAAATTACAAATCGTAGTCGTGTGTTCAAATAAAACTCAATAATATTTTTCTGCGTCTAAATAGTCCGAGAGTGGTCCCAAATCCCACAAAATATATATATTCCGAATCCTCTCCCCGAGACCTTCTCAACGATACAAATTTATGGGGCTATGTGAGATTTGACCGTGTGACCTTTGCACTGAGAAATAATTAACAATTCTTCAACAATCTGAAAATACAACTCGTTTACATAATTTTATACCAAAAATGAGGAAAACCCATCCAGGATTGTTGAAATGCCAGCTATTTGGAAAATAAACATGGGATACATCAATTGATCTATGAAATGGACGAAATTCAATATTTAAAATTTCACCTTTTTTATTTTTATCCACATCCCTTGCGTTTGTAAAGTCTCCTATAATACATTCATGAGCTGGAATCATACGCTCAGCTTCAACTTCCTATCAACTTAAGGCAAGTATGCATGAGAAAATCATTTACACGCACGTAAATACATACGGCAGAACTGAATGTACTTGAAAATATGACACATCGCCAAATAAATTTTCTAAAAAGTCAGAAAACTACGAAAAATCCTTATAAATAAGCAAACTTGAATTAGTTTTAGAATTTACTACAAATGGGAAGAACGATAACATAAAAAATTACAAAATTTATAGCAAACTTTGTACGTACACATAAAATTGACAGCAAGAAAGCGCAATTTGTAAGATATTTTTGCCATGCCTTAAAAGTTATTATGTTTCCGATGAGACGAATTATTCGCGTGAATAAGGATAAGAAATAACACAATAAAAATGTGTACCGGGTATATCGAAAAATAGTTTGAATGAGGACATGACACAAAACAAAAGAATAGGCCCAAAATGCACAATGAGACATATGTAGATGCATATGTATGTATGTATACATACATACAAACATACACATTTTTCAAAATTCCAAGTAGGGACGATTTTGTGCTGCGCTGGTCGTTTAGGTTTTTTATAACTGATGATCTAAAACATAATATCTATACTCTGCGAATATGTAAAATAACTAACTAAAATAAATATGTAACGTTTTTAAATACTTCAACTCTTCAGGAAAAGTGCATGAAAATGCACAAAAATCTTTAAATTAGTGCAAATAATATTGCACTAATTCAAGTGGATGCATTATTAACAGCCTATCTTGAATTATTAACGACTTTTTGAAATATCTAAATTTCGAGTAAATTAACAAAATTCCGCTTTGTTTACAAAATTCCGAATCAAATAGTATGCTTAACGGATTCATTTTAAAATTCCGAATTATTTACTAAATTCCGATTTAGTTTCAATTTATTTGACGAATCCGTTGTATCATAAAAATCGATATCAGCTCGATTAGTTATATTCGAGCTCGCTCAAGCGGTACCTTACTATATTTTTTACTCGAATTTGTCACGAGGGTATCTAAATTCAAGGCAGTCCCCAAATATTATTTCATAGGACTTATGACTTATTAACAATGTCTCGAGTTGTTAACAAATTTTGAATTGCACAATACGTTAATAACGTTTAATAAATTCCATATTTCGATCGTGTACTAATTAATACGGAAAATGCCATTATTTTGCAAAATCCTGCAAATTGGAAAATGGGGGCCTAAATTCGAGGCAGTGGGCTAATTCTGGTCCAAAATAATTTTATAAATTATTTCCAGTCGTATTTTACCCAATTTTGACGATTTTGATACAAAAATCAAATTTTTCAAAATTTGCCAAAAAATCGCACATTTTGACTTGTAGCGCAAAAACGGGTTCGGCGCCCCCCAATATTATTACGGATTATTAATCTACTAAATATTACGCAAATTTTAAGCCATCATACATGAAAATCGTTGGAAGTTGAAAAAACACTACTAGATGGTATATATAGGTATTAAAAATGGTATTCAAATTTTCTGACCAGAGATACAGTATCCGAAAAATGAAACCGACCACCGACATTCATAAATTTCAAACTTGAAAAACTTTTATTAAATTTAAACAACAATGAGATATCTTTGGCTTATTTTAAAGAGCAACTAATAAGCTTCAAAATGATATATTACTTTATCCGATAAGATGAATATTACCCCAAAAAATCTGAAATCATAAAAAAAAGTGAAAACCAGTGGGAAAATTGAAACCGACCACTTGTAACAATTTTATTTTCATACCACAAATATCGATTATTTTAGAAATTATTTTATTACCTAATATTTAGTGGGACCTCCCTTGGCCGCAATCACAGCTTGGCATCTTCTTGGCATGGAGTCCACGAGATGTTGGTCACATTTTCAGATATGATCCCCCAAGCTTCGGTGATGCGGGTCTTTAATTGATTTTTGTTAGAAATTGGGAATTTTCGGATTTCCCTTTCTACCACATCCCAAAGGTGCTCAATTCGGTTCAGGTCAGGCGACTGTGCTGGCCATTCCAACCTGTTAATCTTCATATTTTTCAAAAATTCTTGAACAAGTTTTGCCTTATGTTTGGGGTCGTTGTCATCTTGGAAGATAAATTGACGACGAAGCCCCAGTTTTGATGCGGAAGATTTGATATTTCTTTGCAGGATTCCTAGATACACTTCTTTTGTCATGATTCCGTCGATAAACTCCAGATTTCCGAGCCCATTGTAGGACATACAACCCCAAATGAGTAGTGATCCACCACCATGCTTTACGGTTGGATTTAAATTTTTCGTTTTGAGGGCTTCTTTTGGTTTTCTCCAAACCCGACGATGTCCGTCAGAGCCAAATATGTTGTACTTTGACTCGTCGGACCATAAAATTGTTCTCCAAAAGGAATCTGGCTTATTTACATGAAGGCGAGCGAATTTCAATCTTTTGAGTCTGTTCTTTTTGCTGATGAATGGCTTTTTCACGGCAAAGTACCCCTTCAAACCATGACGGTGTATGATATTTGGCACTGTTTTTGAAGTTGCTGACTTCCCGGTTTGTGTCTCCATTTCAGCAGAAATCGTGGGACCACTAATTGTTGGATTTGTCATAACTTTTCGCAAAATTATCCTCTCTTCCGCCGCTGTAAATATTCGTTGTCGGTGTCCTCGGGGGAGATTTTTGATTTTACCGGAATTTTTATATTTGGTAATAATGTCGTGGACTGTCGTCTTTGGAATGTTGTATTTTTTTGAAAGTTCTCTTTCTGATAATTTTCCATTTTCATCGCCTTTCCATCCTTGAATAATTTAATCTCTGATGGCAATTGGAACAACTTTCTTCGGACCCATTCTGAACTTTGAAAGAGACAAATAATATAAATTTTAGCTAAAAATATTATAGAATTTATAAAAAGAAATAAAATTAATAAAATTTATTTACCTTCAATTAAAAAACTATAAATAACGATGCAAAAGCTGAAGTGGTCGGTTTCAATTTTCCCACTGGTTTTCACTCTTTTTTATGATTTCAGATTTTTTTGGGGTAATATTCATCTTATCGGATAAAGTAATATATCATTTTGAAGCTTATTAGTTGCTCTTTAAAATAAGCCAAAAATATCTCATTGTTGTTTAAATTTAATAAAAGTTTTTCAAGTTTGAAATTTATGAATGTCGGTGGTCGGTTTCATTTTTCGGATACTGTATCAGTCAGTTTTTGGCGACATTAGATGAAGCATTATCTGTACAAAATACTAATTTGGTTCGAAAAGGTTCCTATGCGGAAAATAGCGAAAAAAAATCACTCAAGTTGGTGCTTCCTCACAATGAGAACTTTTGTAAAAAGTTATGGTTGTCGCTGCAATATCCAGTCGTACTTTTCTCCCACTTATCAAATCTCCCGAAAATGTGAAAATATCTTCGGAGTATTATGTGGACTGTCTTCTAAAACCACTGTTAGAAGTTCATCTTCCCTAACTCTATGAAAAAAAAATAAGTGAAGTGAGTATTCATGACTCATGAGCGCGCGGCGACTTCAAATATAGCAAACTTGACCCCAGGCCATGCAAATGACCTTGAAGCTAGACAGGGGATAAAAATTGTTTCGAATAGTGAAATACCTTTAGAATTCCCCCATATAAGTCAAATGAATCTTTTCTGGTGCGGATACTTGAAAAGAAAGTTTTCTAAGGAGATTGCAAATTTTAGAGCGAGTTTGGAAAGCCTTGAAAAACGAGTGGATGAAAGTTGACCTCACACTGTTTCAGAAAGTGGATAAAAGTCGGAACAATATAGACCTACTTATTGTTCAGGACATGGGCTTTCACATAGGACACATTGCGAAGCTGTGCGACAAACCGTTCCGGAGCTCTTCAGGGTCAAACTCGTTCACAGATAACAAAGCACCCTTTTGTATCGGCATATTCATTTTAATGCATTTGTGTGAATTTTATGCATTTTGGTCCATTTTTGTCCATTTTATGCACTATGCATCCACAAAAATAATTTTGTACGCAGAAAAAGAAACACTGATAGTGATTAAATCAATGTATAATTGACTGATTTTATATCCCAACTAAATATACGTGACATACATCATGATGCCGGTCCATTATGTACTTGATGGTTAAATTACTTTTTATGCTGCTATATACAACAATTTTCCAAACAATTTGCAGCATCTGTTGTACCTGTCGGGAAAACATAAACATATTTGCTAACTTTGTCACGTCCGCCTTCAAATTATTTGCATCAAAAATAAATTTTAAAATTTGCCTCTTGGTGTTTATGTGATTATACTTTCAAATACAAAACATATAACAACATGCGTATAACTTTATTGACTAAAATATGTGACACACTGCACATTATGCATTGCATATACTTATATTTTTGATTCTAACAGTCTCGTTGTAGTATTGATTGAATTATTTGGTGTGTAAAGTTGATTCGAACACGTACATACGGTTGTCTCGTTGTTGCAATAGATATTAAAAATTGTTTGAAAGGATGGTTATCCACAATTAAGCCACCACTGTGTTCGTGATGTAATTTGCGTACAATCTGAGTATAAAATGCGATAACTTTTTCGAACCTCATCACTGAGTTTACCAACCGCATTTTAAATAAGCCAACCTCATCGAGTCTAGATTCAGAACCATGGGGGAAGTGTGGCCCGATAACGTGACAAGATTACGTGGAGGGGAGAAGTTATCACCACGTACATAAGTTAGCACATTCGCGAAATTATGTACATTTACATATATACAGATACATAAATAAGTACAACCCCGAGTTCAAGGTTGATCCAACGCAATGGTAGCTAAAAGAAAACTAATGACTGCAACATCATATAAAGTTGACCTTTGTATTAGATAATTAAATTTGTATATGCTTAAAAATTAGTCATCCAATAATAATTAGTTTCAAGTCTCACGGCAACTTGTACAAATCTCTTTATAAAACATTTTCATGTACATACATATTTACTGTTGCTCTGGAAAGAGACCTATTGTAAAATGCATAATCAGTTAATTCTATTGTTGTTCCACTGCAAACATTTACATATACACGGTGTCGAATAAACAAAATTACGACCATTATTTAATTCGCAGATCTCTGAAGGATATCAATTCTTAAAATTTAATTCAATCCTACATATTGCCCACATCAACTCATTGAGGGAATCGTTAAAGAGAACTTATTAAAGAGGTTGATCGTGTGATTGTACACCATTTCGTTGGCATTAGCTCCATAAACGAAATCAATATGGGAAAACGTTGGACTAGGAATTGTGTAATAATCGACCAGATTGGGAAGCACATTTGCAAGCCTTTGATACCCAACAGAATTGGCGAACATGTCATTTCTAGCAAGGACCAAACTGATTGGAGCTGTTATTAATTTTAAATTATATTCTGGAGGGTTCATGTTTCCATAAATTTTAAGGTTTTGTCTCTCCCCGTAATCGTAACACGCAAATCGATCCGTTATCATAAACTGGTTCAGGTGGAGTAGCATTTTTAGTGAGCTGGGTGTCATCAAGTGGCCAAGGACGCTTGGGGTTTGTTCCTATGTTTAAATTATTAATTATGAAAACGAATATGTAAATAAGTGCTAGAAAAAGGTTAAATTAAAGTGTGAGGTGTTTGTACATTTCATTTTTTTTACTAATTTTATCAGTAGTTTTGCCACAAAGGGGGAAAATAAGCGTAATCTGGATTTTCCAGTTTTGCATTTCTGAATACATGCATTCACTGTTATAATAATGATAATCCTATTGATTCAGATGAATAGATAGATCCCTTTGATTACATATTTATATGAGTATACGTACACCGGCCAGTAATTATTTTATATATACCACTTTTGCGAAAAACTCCGTTTTTGGCCGGTGAGAAATTTTCAAAGAAACACTCGGTAGGAAAGGTAGCAATAAGTGGATTAAGAAAACATATACTTGTTGCGGTGTTGGACCACCCAGGATACTTATATTCTAGAGATAAAAATAGACTATTGTGTTTATGGTTTTCCAATATTCCAGAATTTAACACAGCGAGGGATTGGAAATTTATATGGCGGGTATGCGAGGAAAACTCCAAACTCTGGCCAAGTGTCTATTATTCTTTTACAAACCGTAATTCCGTCTGTTTTAAAACTTATGACCTATTTATAAAATTTGACAACATGTGTCCTTCTAGTGGAAATTAAATTACTCTAAAAATATATATTTAAATTTATTACAAATTTAGACTGCGACGAAAAAGTTCCCATCCATAAAGTCGCACACCCCATTTCGGTCAGGTATTATTTACATTCAAAATTTAACAAAATCAGTCATGCATGTACACCTCACACTTTCGCATCCAATCCACTTACCCTGCTAATTTGCTCCGGACTAAAACCCATAATAATAAATAGAACTTGTCTGCAAACTCCTAACAGATCTATGCTCGGTTTACAAATTGTGGACAAAATTTGATTCACCATAAACGTGATGCCTTCCGGAGGAACGGGAAATCCACCAATTAGTTTTTGTAAAATCTAAAAACAGAAAATAGAAATATTTATGTACATATTTTTCATTCTAACCAAATTAACAAATTATTACCGACAATGGCCTGGTTGTGATTAGAGCATTAATGCGATTGGAAACTGGGAATGTGGAAAAGAAGACGGATGCCGCGTATGAGACATGAATCCCAATTTTTTCATTGTACTCTGGCCTACTAGCCATTGTCATGTAGAAAGGAGTGTTGCCAATTGAGTAGCCAAGGAAATGAAGCTTCCTCCTTTTACTTTTCTCCAAGATGTAATCAATCGCGTCTGGTATATCGTACTTTGCTACTTCGTCCATACTATGGTTTACAAAAACGTAAATATTAAAGTCTATCAATAATTCGGTGAGGTTCACTACATTGTCACCCTTCACGCGTAACAGAGACCTGGCTACATATTTTACCTTGGTTCATTAGAGACGTGTATAAAATGTTTATCTAACTAGGCATACTATTGACGTGGGTGGAGAGTCCTGGGTTCCCATATATGTACATATACGAAAACGAGCACGAGGCATCACTTATTAAACAAAGTGAAGGAATTTCCGTGTCAAATTCACTTTTCGAATTTTGTGTCGACAATGGAATCCATCGAGCTCATCAAGCGGTGGCAACCCGGCTGCAGCATCGTTCACTTCTCCTCAAAAAAATATCTTGAGTAAAGCAGCCACATATGTTATCGATTCAAATGCAAATTAAATTTTAGCAGAAACAATAAGTGTTGCAAAAATTTTGCAAATTGTAGTATGCTTATTATTTTTCAAATTTTGAAACTTTTTTGCAAATTAATTTTATTACTTTCCGCAAGATTGGACTACACAATTTGCAAATTTGTTGGAATACTTGTTAAGTATTTCTGCTAAAATTTAGTTGCATTTGAATTGATAAAATGTATGGGTGCTTTGCTTAGGAAATTTTTTCGGAGGAGGAGTGAACGACGCTGCAGTCGAATCCACCGTTTTGAACTCGATGGTCAATCGGTCGTCACAAAAGTCGTAAACTTGACGAAAAGTAAATTTGCCATGGAAAATATTTCACTTTGTTGAATAAGTCATACTTCGTGCTCGTTTTGGTATGTACGGGAACCCTGTACTCTCCACTCACTTCAAGAGTTTCCCTAGTCAGCTTGTTCTAGAAAATACAGAAAAGTATGTCCGCTTCCATAATTCACATATGCAGGGTTTGACTTTGGCCGTAATAACAAACAAATATGTAGGTATACGAAATAAAAAATATGAACGTATTCCAAGGAAATTGTACTTGAAACTCTTTAACAATTGTTACATGTTGAGTCAAAGTCTCAATTGTTAAAGAGTTTCAAGTACAATTTCCTTGGAATACGTTCATATTTTTTATTTCGTATACCTACATATTTGTTTGTTATTACGGCCAAAGTCAAACCCTGCATATGTGAATTATGGAAGCGGACATACTTTTCTGTATTTTCTAGAACAAGCTGACTAGGGAAACTCTTGAAGTGAGTGGAGAGTACAGGGTTCCCGTACATACCAAAACGAGCACGGTATATATATATATATATACCGTAAATTCTCTATTACTGGCCGAAGTTCCAATATATAGAAGCCTGTCTCTAATATTGGCCTGGTCTGGGACTCGAAATTTCAATTATAAGCCAGGGCTTCTAATAGAGAATTTGCGGTATGTATCCTATTTACAAATATGCTTCCATGTACAATATGCATAAATATGTCAAATAAATTATGTGTACATATACCCATAGTTCCAAAAAAGAGGGTCATTATGGGTCAAATTGATATGACGGTTAGAATACATGTTTCCCCTCAGATTTCCAAGCCATACGTCATACCCTTGATTAGCCAAGAGGAATGGGAGGCAATTATCCTCGCTTAAGTTTACCAACCAATCGGATGATGACATTGCCCCACCTTAAAAAATTAAATTTAATAATTGCCTTAAAATGTACATGATGTTCAAAACAGAGCCCCACGCCGACGATTGTGCGCCGGCGCGGCGCCGGCGCCGACCCAATTTTTGACGCCACCGCCGACCCAATTTTTGACGCCACCGCCGCTGAGAAAATCAGCCGGCGTCCCGCCGCCAACGAGGATTTCTACTGGTTACGCCGCCGCCGGCGCCGCCGCCGCCGAACTTTGTGTCGGCGTGGAGCTCTGGTTCAAAATAAGGTGTTACAAGGTCAGAGTGGTTCAATAAGCAGGTTTCATACATTGCCAATTTTTTCTGCCAAATTTCCATTCATATCTCAAGCAGGAATTTGTTATTTTATGTTGAAACAATTGAAAAGTTTGGAAAATTAATTTAACAACGATCTCAATGTAATGCCTTTTCGAACCATCTTGTAAATACTTTGAAAATCTATCTACAAGGTGTTGCAATTTGGAACGTGAAATTATGCTGGGACCAATTTTTGCATTTTTAACTTCAATTAAGTAAATTGCATACATCGGGTTTTTTCAAATTATATTTAGTAATACTTATTTATAAATTTTTTCTTTAACATCTAATCAATTTTTGACCACGATGCACATCAAGGAATTATTGAAAAAAATGATTTTAGAAAATAAAGTAATTTCACCGTGCATAATATACACCGGGTATCCATGTGACGCCCAACTTTTCCCGTGTGGGATTCTAAATGCTGTTAGAATGTAGCCATCTTTCGTTACTATGTCATGTTTATGGACTGGGTAGCCTCGCCGTGTAATTAGTTCAATCTGAAAAAGAAACAATTATTTAATTATCCTCGACACGTGGTATGTAAATATATATTTTTTTAAAAAATGGGTCAAATTTAACGCCCCACTTATTAAATTTGCCACTTAATAAGATGAGGCATCCCACCGGCTGAACTTTCCACTATGTTGGACTTTACAGCCACTTAATTAGCTAGTGGTTGACACTTAATTAGATTAGGTCCCACTCTAACTAAAATCTTCGGAAATTTTATTCATGGTACATCAACTATTTTCAGATGATGTTTATTTACGTCTGTCGCCTTTATTTACAATTAGAAACATCCCATTTAATCTAATTACTCAACTATGATAATTGTCAAATGATCTCTAAGAAGTATTTTCGTTCAACCTGTGATATCAGTAAATACAATCCTGTAATGCCATATGTCATTTTACTCAGCCCAATTAGCCAATCCCGCCCAGATGTATGAAGTTTATCAGCCACACCCTCAGGGGGTGTGTTTCTCAGCGAATAAATTCAGATAAACGAAATTCGAATGTTCCAACGCGATCGACTTAAGAGGAAAACGATATAATGCATGCCAGGATTTTGTTCATCTTAATTTACTGCACATATTGACCTTTTTAAAATTAAGAAGAGACTGCGCGTAGGTCTCTTTAGAATAAGTACGACGATATGTAACTTAAACACATGTAGTATTGTCCTCTGCACCGGTCCGGCCCCTAATACTAAATAGGCTAGGACTGTACCCAATTATATGTAGGTACCCGTGTGCCTATAACTGCACTATTAAAAATCTGATAAAGTCACATAAAGACTCTGTGCTGGTATTGATTTGGTTTACGTATTACTTCCTTCGGGATTGTATTAATTTTTTCTGAGTAGTATATTTCGTTACCACAGATGATGCTAACATAGTGTGATAACTTGGTGTGTACCAAATAAATAAATGTTGTTAAAACGAATGCTTCCTAACCGTGCCGTGGAGTTCTACTATTAGTTAAGGCATTATGGGAAATTATTTTATTTAATTTGGCGTGCAACCGAATACCGATTTTCATTGTGACTTGAAATCGGTGGGTGGGAGATTCTATAAGCTGTTTCTAATTGTAAATGAAGGTGACTGACGAAAATAAACATCATCTGAAAATAGTTTATGCACCTTGAACAAAATTTCCGAAGATTTTAGTTAGAGTGGGGCCTAATCTAATTAAGTGTCAACCACTAGCTAATTAAGTGGCTATAAAGTCCGACATAGTGGAAAGTTCAGCCGGTGGGATGCCCCATCTTATTAAGTGGCAAATTTCAGCTTAATAAGTGGGGCGTTAAATCCAACCCTAAAAAAATTTCCCAAGAGTTTCATTCTAACTGAAGGAAAATCTAATAAAATCGAATTATACTGGTTGACCCATACCCATTTTTTAATGAATGAATGAATGAATGAATGAATGAATGAATTTATTAGAACCTTTTCGGGCGTTACGCCCATAGGGCTACAAACATAGATATATGTAAATTACAAGTGCATTATAACATAAGGCATTAAATAACAAATTAATAAGACAATGACAATAATCCTGGGGGTTCTCGCCTAGTAATGTTCTACTAAACAAGGTCTATGAATGTCGTAAAGAAAAACAAACAGAATTTTTCAAACATTTGCATTATAAAAACAATAAGTGAACTTGGTCAAATTAGACAGTAACTGTGAAAGACAAAATCAAATCAAATAAAAATCAATCATACAGTATCATACAATCATAAAATCAGATCAATCAGCATCAAATACATAATTAAGTATTCAATTATAAACATTTAAGTTATTCGTTCCTCATAATTCCATAATGAACTATAAAATCAGTAAAAGGCAGATCCTCAAATTAAATTCCAAAAACCAACGAAATCATATGATCTATCACAATATTGGCTAATAAATCAGTTAAATTAAATTCCAAATCATACTGGCCGCGAAGTCTGATCACAATATCAACTAATCAGGTCAATATGCATAAAATAAATTGATCAAATTAAATAACTCCAAATTCCCATTTTTTAATGTCATCCATAATAAATCCTAATGGGAGAAAAAACCCGGAGGTTGGTTAATGTACTTGGGTCGGGATATGTATTTGATGCTGCTAGGGTTGGCAATGGGTCGATTTTGTTTATTTTTGTTTATTATGTTGTGGTAATTCTTCTGATGCGTTACTTATCATGGAAATTGTTCCGGATATTTTTCATGTAATTCAACAAAATAAAACAAATTTGTTTCGTTTATGCAGATTTTTTAATTAAAAAATATGTAACTCATTACAATTATCTGTAAATTATACTGAAAGTTAAATACTCATATTGTTGAATTACATGACAAATATTCGGAATATTTTTTTTTGTTTGAGTAACGCATCAGAAAAATGACTACAAACAAAGTAAATAAAAATAAACAAAATCGACCTATTGTCAAACCTTGATACTGCCCTTTAAATTATTATATGGGCAGATTTAAAAAAAAATATAACTTTTTACCATATAGGTTTTCCACAAAAACCCAAAGCAATAATCTTAGTTTTCAAAAGTTTAGGCGAGATAGTTTATGTACATACAACTATTTATTACTGCATTTCACCCTCAAAAACCGTAGTATAAAAACGTACAGATTTCTGCCTGTAGAGAATAAATATCCCAATATTTTAGGGTTATTTACTTACCGTCGACAAATTTGGAGGAAGATTTCCATAATCTTGGTCTCTCCCCGGATCCAAATTCTCCATTCGGATCAAATTGCTTATCACACTGGGCTGAGCAGATTTAAAGAACTGTGTTAAAATTAGCACCACTAAAAAACCAAACATAATTAAAATATCAATAGGAGTAATTTTGCACTTGTGTCAATTTGTAACAACAGCACCCCGGCGACTGATCAAATTAGGAAGGAAGCACAGGAATTGTTATTCAAACTGCACAAGTGTCTTGTGTGTTAACTTTACATACGAGCATGAACATGTGCACAGTATGTACATATACATCTTAACTACACTCTAAACAAAATTTTAATGAATCATTACTGCGCGGAGTGCATATATGACTCTACCGCGATAGTAATGATTTGGTATTAAAACAATACTACTTGGTAAAAAAAAGTAACACAAATTAGTGCTAAAATTATTACCAACAAGTGTTATATTATTACTAAATCTATACCAACATGGTGTAAATTTTTAATTCCGTCACGGTAGAGTCATATATCTACTCCGCTGGTTTTTTTTATTACCAAGTTGCTAAGAGTGTAGAACTGTACCAGAAATTGTGAAGTATATGCAAGATGAGGGAATTACATGCTTATGCGGTTTGATTTTGTCATAGACTTGTTTGCGACTGCATAAGATCGAGTCTCCACACAAGATGCGAGTACCTGTACAAACCAGTTCACTGAGGCGAAACTAATATTTTATGAGGTATATGTCAGTATGTATCTATGTAATTCCTCGTCCAATAACTTTCCCTTTCTCAAAGTTCATTTTGGAATTATATGATCTTGTCATTTTCAAATTTAGGTTATAAAAGTTATAAAAGCTAATTACACGTATAATTTATGAAATGGTCAAATCCATGATGAATTTACTTTCATTCAACATGTTTCATGTATGCAGTTGATATTTATCACTGTACAAGTAAAGGGATCTTGTTGCACTTTTCGCATTTTCTATTTACAAACGGCAAACTATTAAAATCTATAATTAACAGCGACAACAATTTCGTCGAAAACCAAATCGTCAAAATTAACTTTATGTTAATTGTTCGACACAAAATTTAAAACTGAAGGTCATCTAAATAGGTTAGCTTTACGTAAAAAAGCCATAATTATAGCGTAATGACCTTTTCATAACTCTTTTCGACCTACATACACTTGACCTAATCTAGGTCGATCGACCTGAAATTTAAAACTAATTCATGGTTTTTTTACATTATGCATATATCTACTATCCATATGGAATTTAAGTATACATATTAATGCAGAATATTACGTTTGAGATCATTTCCCTAAAATTCGTGAGTTTTAAGATTTTTATCAACCGGTCGTTTTGCCAAATTGCCTATACATCACTTTGAATTTAAATAACTTTACAACTCGTATTATACCAGAATTATGTAAGAGCGTTTCAATTTGACTGGTGCGGAAGATGGTTAATTCATAACGATTACAATTTTGATGGGATCGATTTAATGAACGAGCTGTTCAAAATTGTCTATATTTGTTCAATTCAATTGGAATTGGACTACGAATTAGCTGTGGCTAATTTAAAAATTTGAATTACCTAGTTGATTATATTTTGTTTTCATTTGTAAATTACGAATTCATTAATCTTCGACTTGCATACAAGCATCCGAGGCAACTTCCGGGAACCGAATGCGAGTAAATTTATTCAAAAAGTGAATAAAGAATTACTTGATAGATGCAGTTTTTTTATTTGCTTATTTGCTTTTGAGAATTTCAACATTCAAATTAAATGAAAAACAAAACAACGCGAAATTGAATGATTTATTACGCTTTATGACTTATGACATTTCTACAATGCTCAACCAAAGCGAGGCCTCGTTTTGGTTGCTAATGAAGATTTTATTTATTTATTTATTTATTTATTTTATTTTATTCTACCCTGGGCCCAGGTTAGAAGTTGTCTTATCTATTTTAGAACATCCCTACTAAAAATATATGTAAAAATCAAAACTAATTTCGAAAATTCGACGTGGCCACATATATACACCAGTGGAAATTGGTGGGGAAAACCGAATTTCAAAATTCGCAGTCCATCGAGACTTATCGTGAATACAGAGAGACGGACAGAGCAAAAACATAATGGGGTTTTACCCCGTAATAATAAAGTTTCCGTGGCATGATGTGCTTAGTGTAAAGGTCGCTGGCATCATATATCGTACGACTGTCGGAGTTGTGAAAGATTTAAGTAACATTCCCTGTTTTTCCAGTCTATCTTATCACGTTGTTAATTAATAATTGAACATGGGTACACAATTATATGATTTTTTAACCAAAGGTTGAACACTTGAAGAATAATTTGCCCAATATAAACGATTATCGATGCAACCACTTTAGTCAAAAAGAGGCAGTTGATCCAGCTAACTTTTACTCTCCTTCAATTAAATATTACCCAACCGGCAACATGTTTTCGTTCCAAGTTAAACTATTTTTTGCCGTACTGGTTTCCTGCATGGTGTCAGCTACCTTAATTTCTGCAGCGTCGCTATCCATCCAAGGAGAAGGCGTAATGACTGGGGTAGCACAAGGAGTTGAGGCACAACAGGTAAATATTTGAGTCAATACAAGTTTTTGAGGATTATGAATTTTAACTAAATGTTAACAAATTTGTATTTTTTAGGAACGATGTGGTCCAGGAATCATGCCATGCATTCCTTTCGTGAACGTGACACATTGCTGTGACAGATGCACCATGTCGGTGTTTGGTCCAATTTGTGCCTACGTGGGTTAAATTTGTAGTTTATTCTTGGTTGGTATAAATAAAATGAGCAATTAATTATTAGGCTTTCTTTCTTGACTTGCCTTATTGGTTTGTTATTAAACGAATTAATGTCTATCCTCAATTAAATTAGTTTGTGTAGGGTAATACTGAATTTAATATTAATTTTTTTGTTGCTCCACCAAAGATAAATTTCATGGATGCCAAAATACGCTAATCGTTATTTTATTTTATTGCATGATATAGACATACGTATCTTGCAAAGAACGGAAATAACGTAAAATCGCGATATTAAAATCTTCTTGGGCCACCTTTACCGTAAAGTTGCATTTCTCCAAAAATCATAATTTCTTAATTATAATTAACCCAACTAAATCAGAGGGAAAGTAGAGTACAGACTCTATACAGCCCGAGTCAGCGATTGTACAGATTTTATATCCAATTAGACGCACATTCTCAATATTATGCACATGCAAGAGATGTTTTAACTAAAAAATCAAGTTAATTAATTAAGGGATTAAATAAGAATTACATCACGAATATAGGGACAGATTTATGCACTACAGCTTCACAAATCACACGCACTGGCATTGAAACTTGAAATGAAACTTGAAATGACAAAAGGTCAGAATGATTTTATGATAATAATAAGAACTGGCCAATGCTGACAATCAAATTTAATTAGTAGGAGCTTGAGTGTAATGCATTAATTCTCCAAAACGAATAGGTACATATGTATATTGATATTATATTGATCTGATCTTTGTCACATCCTCTAATCAAATTTTAATATTTTACAAAATTAGACTGGGTGGAGGATGCTAAATCTCATTTGACAACAAAACTGTCATTTTACGGAAAGGTCTATGTCGTGAATATTAGAAATTACAAATACAGATTTTATCATGCAAATAACGACTCTTAATAAAATCAAAACACGAAACCTCTGAACTTTGTAGATTTTCAACCAAGCTTCAAACAACACAAGTTTTTCAATGCCGTTCTAAATTTTCTCCCAAACAAACAATAAAATATGAAGTTGGCACTTGAATTCAGCAAAATCATAAACATTCCTTGAGCATAAAATCCATGCGAAGGGGATCCCGCCCAAGAAGTGGTGGCCAGAGAATCAAGTACCATGTACACGCAGAACAGGGCATTGGTCAAAAGTGAGAGGGAAACGATGGCAACCACAATTTTTGTTACGGATTTGCTCAAACACGCCGGTTCGGAAGAGGACGTCATGTCCCTTACACGGTTCACTCGACTTTTAAGCGATGCGACGATTTTGACGTTGAAATAAAACAGCAAACCGAACGGGATAAGTAATCGAATGAAGAAATGAGTTATATCAGAATTTACGACACGGTAGAAATCTGAGCGCCCAAAGTCGGAATCCGTGTAGTTATAAAATGTTTCCCCGTCTCGTTCAACTGGAACAATTTTCAGTTGGAACCATCCTGGTAAATTCAAAACCACTACGCCAGCTATGCTTCCCCAAATCAATTTAGGTGATGTTTGGCGAAATTCCAATGGGGTGCAGACTGTAATTTAAATAGGAAAAATTGAGTTTACTGCTACTAATTAAGGAAGGAATATCAAATTAAACTGTGCAACCTGCCCGACACCGTTCCCAGGTGAGCAGCAGTGTCATGGAGACGGATCCCATTGTAGCTGCAAGTAACGAATAAAAATTTTTTTTTAGCAAAACGAGATATTTTTGTGTGAATTTGTTGGGAATCTTGAGACATTTTGAGTAACTTTAAATAAGTTTTAATCTCCATAAAAAAATCAGAAATATATACACCTGTTGCAAACAAGGGATCGGAAAATTTGTGAATTAGTGGAAACCAGTATGTGAAAACTTTTTCATTCTTGGTTGCATGGAACCATATCACGTTGATATAATCCATGAAGAATAGGAGGGACACAATGGAGATGCAGTCCCAAACCGCAAGCCAGCGCAACATTCTCCTGGCGGGTGAATTTTTCAAACCGTTTGTGCTGAGTACAAAAATGCTTAGCGTGTTCCCTGAAATTCCCAAAGTTCCCACGCAGATGGAAACCAGAGCAATCACAAAGAAAAATGTACTTTTCACCTTTTCTACTAGGCTTGGTTCTACAAACTGTAAAAGTTCGTCAACTTGTGTTTCGTTGCTGGTTGAATTATCGAAAAACTGCTCGTTCAAAACTTCTGGTCTGGTTGCCATGGTTACTTGCCAATTTTTTTAATTCTTTAACAAATTAACCTATTGACTGGAGTGAACTTTGCAGGCTGTGAGGACTATGCGGGTAATAATGGAATTGACTTAAAATTAATTTGCATATATTTAATATGGTTAAACCTTCCGACCAATCTCATTCATGTATAGAACAGAAAACCTATGTGTTTGCCTTTTGGCCAGTAGATAGATAATAGATGGGTTAATATATTTGTAATACGTCTACCAAGTAGAAATTTTGGTTTACCAATATTGATTGACTCTTGTGTGCAAAAATGTATATACTTTCGATACCTAAGACGAGACTCACCATATCATAGCGAAACCACAAATATCCTGTGTCAACTGACAATGCGAAGCCGTGAAGTGGTACGCTCGGATTTGAATGGTAAAATTAAACAAGTTCCATAATTTTCGACATTGTCAGTTAGTTACGAGTCCGTTCACAGTCACGTACTCATCAATCCAGCAGCCTATCATCATGCAGATATTACATCCCAGGATTCATACGTTCTCTTAACAATGGCACGTAATCAAAATTATAAATAGCATCTGGTGAATATTGCGTCATTTGCATAAATTGAGACGATTAACAATATAATTTCATTGTTAATTTTTTTGTGGTTTGCACATAGTATCTAAATCTTCATCCACGACTCCATCACCTCTCAGAGCCATGTAGAATACTAATCTTACGTAATGCTGGATTTTTGAGTACATTCATGCAATTACTTATCATCACTCACTGATACTTTGGAAACACGCACACATGTATGAAATGGGTTGGTGACGAGTGGGCGACAAACATCTCGTCGACACCGTATTGGTCGACAAACAACTGGTCGTAAAAATACTGGTCGACACAGCATATTGGTCGACACGGCATATTGGTCGCCAATTTCAACTGGTCGTCAACATATTGGTCGACACAAGGCTTATGGGATCATCATGTTCGTCCGTCTTACGATAACTCCAATCGACTTGAAATGTGGTACACATAAATAGTATGAGGCAAACGAGGAGTTAGGTTCGAAGATAAGCAACATTGGTTGGCCGGTACGGGCCATACGTGGATACGTGGAATGGTCGTAGAAGGCTGATGCTGATATTCGGGAGATTGGTAGTATTTATATACTATGACGAAAATATAATTTCATAGAGACCAAATTATTACTTAGGACCTCCACTGATTTTTAAAAATGGTCAGAAAAGCCTAATTTGGCATGATTCTGCATGGCATTATCATATTAACAAATGCATACGTATGAAGTAAGAGGGACCCAGTAGGTGTTTGAAATTGGACAAGACTTTAAATTTTTCATGCTGCATTATGGGTGCATTTTTATGGATTTGGTACTAGTATGTAGTTAGGTCATCAGACATCAATTTATAAGTGGGCTCTGACCCTAAGACGGGCTAGATGAAAACTGCACTATAGATTTTTTTACTTTCAAATTAGAATGTTCCATCCTTGAGAAGAGTGATTATGACATGTCGACCAATATGCTGTCGACCAGTAAAAATTGGCGACCAATAAGCATTGTCGACGAAAAAGCTGTGTCGACTAATATAATGTCGACCAGTTGTTTGTCGACCAATACGGTGTCGACGAGACGTTTGTCGCCCACTCGCCCGGAACCCGTATAAAATGAGTCCAAGCCTTGAGTCCTTTGTGCTTGCATAGTCAACTACATGTGTATATTCTGTTGGTGATGATGTTAGATCCTGATAATATCGTGGACGAATGATTTCATCTTTCATCCGATTGTATTCATCCCAAACCTAGAAGTATGCTATGTCTTACATATGGATAACTTCATACCTTGAATACCTGGAACCACTGCATGCCTATCCATATTATGTATCTTAGTTGGAGATGTTCCTACAAATTAAGCAGGATTTGCATTCTGAGCATCGACATGACACGATGACGTGATGAATCAACTACACTCTAAACAAAATTTTAATGAATCATTACTGCGCGGAGTGCATATATGACTCTACCGCGATAGTAATGATTTGGTATTAAAACAATACTACTTGGTAAAAAAAAGTAACACAAATTAGTGTTAAAATTATTACCAAAAAGTGTTATTTTATTACTAAATCAATACAAACACGGTGTAGATTTTTAATTCCGTCACGGTAGAGTCATATATCTACTCCGCTGGTTTTTTTTGTTACCAAGTTGCTAAGAGTGTATGATTCAATCAAAGAATTGTTTTTCCTGCTCCATCACAAAAATGAGCCACGTTTTTGTATGATATTTCTACCCATGATGAGCATAATCGATTGAGGTAAGAGTCAAATTGTAAGCTTGAAACAAAATAAGACAAGTTAACGGCCATGACAGATTACCCAAGGTCTGGTGACCACGTATTAATAGATAATTAATCAATTTTGCATATTTTATTTTACACAATGATCAATCAGTAACGAAGTACAATAATATCAAGAAGAAAAAAATTTCGGCCTATTGTGTATTTTTTATTTCTACTGCATGCGATCAAACATGAACACCAAAATTATGAATTTATAAAATAATATTTACATGCATAAGTTTGGGCGCTTTGACGTTGCTCAAATCAATTTATATGTATTGGTGAGATCAACACTGGGAAATAAAAATTTGTCCCTACAAATATTTTCCTGATAGTGGTCCAACTTGTTGACTGCTAAAATGTTAAATTAATTTATGTTGGCATTTTTACTCACTCTTATCTCTATTTATTACGTCTTGATACTCATCGTCGATTTTAACCAGTCATAAAGCTGCATTATTTATTATGCAATAGCAAGATCATCATCAGACAAAGTAACCACTTCGGTGATTACTACAAACTTCTTATATTCTGCATGCAATAACTTTTTTAATTGCGAGCCAGGTGCGACGCTTGAATAAAATTTAACATTTGAAATATTCTCATCTGTTTTTTACTTAATCTAGAGTCAAATCCAATATTGTACAAGTACACTATGCAACCATTATGCAAACTCGGCTCTCCTCCCATCAAAAACGATGGTCCGAATGATGTAGATGGCTAAAATCTTCGATATTTGAAACACCTGTCACCCTTTTCGTTGAAGAGAACAGGCGCTGATTATGATTGTCGAAATCCAATTTGCTTTGTCATCATATAACAAGTCGGCGCATTATTAACAACTTTTTGAATTATGAACAAACTTTCCAGTAGAATAATATATTTTAACTGCATTGCCATTATCAGGGTTTATTAGATGAATTCCATTCATTAAAGTCTAGCCGTGTTTAACAAAATTCCAATTTAGTGACAATGTATCTAATGAATCCGTTGTGTCATAACAATTGATATTAGCTCAATTAGTTGTATTCCAGCCGGCTCAAGCGGCACCTTAAAATATTTTTGACTCAAATTGGTCAAGAGAGTATCTCAATTCAACGCAGTGGCCAAATACCATTCCAAATCCCTTATGACTTATTAACCACGTTCGAGTTGTTAACAAAATTTTGAATAACAAAATTTTGAATTATTAGGAAAAAGTCGTCATGATTTACTGCATGCTCAAATTGACAGCACTTCATCTTGATTACCATTTATTACGTCTATCATTGAACAATACGTTAGTGGGCACAAGTTGGCCGGTGCCCACGTATAAATTTGTGCCCCTCTACACTATATATTATTGCAATTTTTTCAAAAATTTGAAATTATTTCTAAAAGTTTTTGTAGGTGAATAAAAATTCCTAACAACAACAAAAATTACTAGGCATGGTTTCACCCAAAAAGTGACATAATTAGGTAAGCTGTAGGTCCAAGCTATTTAAACACGATTAGTTTTAAAATCCGTAGTAAAAATCTTACCGAAAACTTATGCATGAGTAAGAATAATTTCAACCTGGATTTTTTTAAGACAAAAAAATGATTTCCCTGAGTTTTGAAACGTTTGTCCAGCGATGATATGCTTGCGTTCCGGCTCCGCCCCCTCGCGGAGTGGGAGGAGCTCAAAGTTGGAAAAATCGCACTGCCTGCGATTTTTGGCGCCACGGGGGGTCAATATTTTTATCCCGACCCAGGGCTTATGTACCCGTGATGTCCGTCTGTCCGTCCGTCCGTCTGTCCGTCTGTCCGTAGCGTGGCGCCAAATTCGCCAAATTTGTATGTTTTTATTTTTTAAACTAACATAACGTCGTTCTAGTTCTAAAAAGTCCTAAGTGCACTCGATGCTTAATTCTAAATAGTCCTAAGTTCAGTCGATGCTTAGTTCTAAAAAGTCCTAAGTGCATGATAAAAACTAGTAAAAAGTCCTAACTGCAATTCCAAAATTACGAAGTTGTAATTATTTGTGCAAAGTCGTGTCATAAACTGAAATATGAATATTTTAGTCAGATAAGGCTAGTCCGGATATAACATTAGAAATTTAAAAACCCGACCCTCAGGGGGTGTTGTTCTTAACGCCTAAATATAGCCAAATAAAGTACTGCCATCCAATATACCATTCTCTCAGCCCGTGAAGCCAATCGCGACTGAATATTCGAAACTTCAAAACCACACCCTCCGGGGGTGTGGCACCCGGCGCCTAAATTAAGCTACATGAAACATTGGCATGCAATATATCATTTCTCAAAGAGGCAATCCCAATGGAATATTGGAAATTTGTTGGAAATATTGGATAACCGCCCTCTGAGGGTGTGGTTTCCAAGTTTCGAATATTCAGTCCTGATTGATTTCACGGGCTGATAAAATTGATGTATTGCATGCCAATGTTTCATGTAGCCTAATTTAGGCGCCGAGTGCCACACCCCCTGAGGGTGTGATTTTCAAATTTCGAATATTCAGTCGGAATTGGCCCAAATTTTGCGATTTTCTTAGAGTCTGGGATTTGTCGAAATTCGTTTAAAAATATCTCAAAAATAAAAATATTTCATTTTTTATTCATTTCGTAAAATGCTGACCTTTGTGATCACTTTAAGCCCAAAATTTTGAAAATCCCACGGAAATTGCAAAAGTTATAGAGGTTTGAAATTGGTCGAAAACATAGATTTTTGAGTTTGGCGCCACGGCATGCCGCCAAATATGCGA